TGGGCATAACCTTCTACCTGTGTTTTTGTGCCTGTTGCTTCAACTCTTGTATTTCTTCTGATGCCACCCCTTCAATTTCCGGGAAACGTCCTTTTCTCCGCAGCCAACGGAGTCCCCGGTTTTCTTTCTTGGGTTTTGAACGGAGCCTCCCCTGGCAGCGCTGCTCTGGACGGGGCCCTTCCGCCTCCCTCAGCCGGGCGCTCTCCTCTCCCCACAGGTTCGCCTCCTCACCGGGATTGGCAGGTACAACGAGATGACCTACATCTTCGACCTGCTGCACGAGAAGCACTACTTTGAGGTGCTGATGAGGAAGAAGCTGGACCCGGTAGGCATTGTGGACAGGAACGGCTTTCCCTGCGTGCTCCCGTCCCTTTTATCTCGAAGGGGGTCCAAGTGGGGCCGGTTCTGAGTTTCTTCCCTTCCCCCGTCCCATCCTTCCAAAGGAGGAGGAACTAGCGGCCAAGTAGTTCTGGCCTTTCTGTCTGGCAGGATTCTGGAGCAGATCATAAAAGTTTGAAGGACTGAAGAACCAGGCAGTCATCGCCCGAAAGCAACTTGGGCCTGTTAAGGACTCCCTCCTCTTTTAGGATCTCTCTCTCTCTCTAGCCGGGGGGCCCTGGGCCCCTTGGGGGGGGTGGAGGGGGGGGGCTCCTCCTTCAGACGTCCTCGGGAACCACCATCCCACCCCTGCTGCCCTCCTCTCTTCCTGCCATGGCACAGTGGATGGTGGGAAAGGATGAGAACGATTCATGGGATTGGATGCTTTTACGTGGTATAATTCTGGGCAGCGGCCATAATTCCACCACCCCCTCCAACCACAACAGTTGTTATCGTCCAGCTCTGACCATGTTTTGGGAAAGCTGGAAGAAAGGAAGTTTCTCTTGTCAGTAGGATTATCTACACAGAGGATGATTCATTTAAAGTTTATTTTAGAAAGGAGAGCAGAAACTATTTGGGAACTTTGGAGAGCAGCATGCCAAACGTCAAACCGCAAAGGACAGAGGAGCCTAAAATATAATCAGAAGTTTTAACATGAAACTCTGAGGAAAAGATGCGGTGGCATTGATTTGCTAATAACCAAGGAAAGTTTTAATTGCCTGGAGTTTCCAATTATTTCAAAGTGGGTTGCCTTGAAGAAAGTCAAGGCCCGTTTTTGTCCAGAGTTTGGCAGCATAAATTCAGCACCAGAAAAGTAAACACAGATGGCTGAGGCTTCATTTAACTTCTTTATAAACACTTAACGTAAATTTTACAATACCAGTTGTAGATTTCTCCAGCATGGAGCAAACTCAAACCGAAGCAGACATGTTACAGGTTCAGAGCAGAACAGCAGCAACTCAGGAGCTCAGAAACAGGCCTCAGTCTCACTTTAGTTCAGCAGGCAAGCAAGACACACAGCAGAGGAGAGAAGCCGTTTCACTTTCAATAAGACTCAGAGCTCAACAGAGTTGCAGAGCTTAATATAGAGCCACGCCTAGGCTACTTCTCGTTTCAGTTTCCAAACAGTCCTCGTTGGCTGACTTAGTTGCTATGCCTATTCATTGGCTGACCTCGTTACCAGGATCTATTCCAGTTCATGAATAGACTCTGACAGTTTTTTATCATTCCAAAGTGCAGAACATGGAATATTGGACTTGGAAGTGAAAGGCAGGCAGATTCTGAACCAATATTAGGGAAAACCTTCCTGCTTGGAGCAGTTCAGCAGTGGAGGCCTTGATCCAGAGCGAGCTGCTCCTCGGTGGACGCGTTCAAGAGAGCAGTCACCAATTTGGGATGCGCTCAGTCAGCAGCTGGGTCCGGATTGCCTCAAGCCCCCCCTCTTTCCCCCGCCCTGGGATTCTGCCATTGTGAAGGGCACCTCCTGGCCAGTGGGGGTGGGGCGGCCTGGACCACTTGGACCGGTGGGGGTGGCTGCTTGGGCCAGTGTGGCCGAGTTTGAGCCCCTTCCTCTCTCCCTCTGGCAGAACGGGACCCTCAAGACAGCCCTGCTGGACTACATCAAGCGCTGCCGGCCAGGAGACAGCGAGAAGCACAACATGATTGCCCTCTGCTTCAGCATGTGCCGGGAGATCGGGGAGAACCACGAGGCGGCCGCCAAGGTCCAGCTGAGGCTCATTGAATCTCAGCCGTGGGGTAAGGACCCCCCTGCCCAGGAAACTCCGGGATCCCTCGGGCTGGTCGAGGCTTCTCCGCTCCTCCTCTTTCTTGGTCCTTCAGGCTTGGAGGAATGGGGGAAAAAAATAGGCCCAGCTGGCACCAGCCAGACAGGCAGCACAGACCCCAGCTGGGTTACCAAGCGCTGGTCGCTCCTCAGGAATCGGCTCTCTCAAGGGTTTTGCTGAACTAAAGTCCCAGGCAGAAGAAGGTGCAGGGACGAGGGAGGGGGGAGCTGGCAGGTGCCCCTTCAGCCAGGAGCCTCCTGGGGAGTCAGCTGGGCTGGGCTCCAGCGTCCTCTACAAGCAGACCTGGGAAGTAAGCTGCCTTTTGGCAGCCCCTGGGAAGGGCGAAGAGCCCCCAGCAGCAACTGCAACACAACTGGGCTTCTAAGCCCGTGCAAAATATTGTAGCTTGGACTCGGTGGTGTAGTAAGGCCCTGCCTGGCCAGTCCTCTCAAGAAAGCAGGACTCTTGAAGCAAAAGGGAACTTTTATTGGAAGATTATAAAGGCAAGAGAATCTAGGCAGGAATTAGCTTTCCCCGCTGGAAGGAAGTGGAGATGGAGCCCCTCCCAAAGTCCAGTCCACCAGTCCAGCCGGTCCTGAGGTGTGAAGGTGTCATGGGAAACGCCGGCCGAGAAGGGGATAACCGGGGGTCTCCAAGGCAAGGCAAGGCACCCTCCTTTCCCCCTCCCAAGGGCCCGAAAGTTACAGCGAAGCAAAGGAAGAAAGAGAAACGGAAACCCCTCACGGAGGTCCCCCCCCCCAAGCCTCCCCCCTCCCCCCAGAATGACAGCGTCCCTGGAGGGATCTGTGGGACCCAACAGATGGCAGAAAAGGGCCGTTTCTGCTTGATGCCAGTCCTGCTCCAGCCGGATCTCCCCACTGCAGTTCCGGGGGTGAACTGGACCTCGAGGATGGCTGGGGGAGCGGTCCCCCGTCCTCGGGAGGTTTCCAAGGAAGCCCCTTCAGGCCTGAGCTGTTCCACCCAAGGGCTCTGTTGTTGTGTCCTCGGCGAAGCTTCCCCTGCATGTCCTCACCCGGGGAGATGGGGGAGCAGGGCCATCGCGCCTCGTACCTGCTCCCGTGAGAGAGGCTGGTCACCTGTGTCCAAAGGAGCTTGAGGGAGGCCGCTGTTGTTGTTATTTGGGCCTGGTGAAACACCTGGGATTCAGCTCTGGGTCACCCGCTGCCACCTCCCTCCCCTCTGCCTGGGTGGGGTTGCCAGGGTGGCCCCAGGCGATCACCCGCTGCTGCCTCCCTTCCAGAGGAGAACCTCCAGGACCTGCCAAGCTTGAAGAAGCTCCTGATGAAGGCCCTCACCCTCTTCCTAGACGCTGCCGAGAGCTACTCCAAGGTGAGGTGGAGAAGGAGGAGATGCATGGGGGTCCCTGGCATCTCGGGGTGAACTCTGCGGCTGAGGGGGGAGGGGTGGAGCGCAGAGGGGCCAGCTTGAACCCCTGCAGGGCCGGAAGTGGTCGACTCCTGAGCTGCCTTGTCTGCTGGTTCTCAAGAAAGAGCGACAGATTCCTGTAAATCCCTGGCCTTTGAACAGAGGTGTGTAGACTTTCTATATCCATCGCAGACCCCCGTTTTCTGCCTCCCTGACCCGTTCTGGCTTCTCTGTGCTGGGGATTCGGGAAAGACGGGGGGAGTTTCTCCTCCTCCGTTCCTCGGTTTGCTCCTGTATTATTCACCAAGGCTCCACTCCTCTTAAGTTAAAGGTTTCCCAATATTTTGTCTCCGGGGTTCTTGTGACGCCGTTTCCTTTGTATGCGGGGGGGGGGGGGGGGGATGCCTTGAACGGGTCACGAGAAAGAAAGCAGGCACAGTAACACAATCTGCAAACGTCCCAAATCTTCTCCCCGTCAAAAGGAGGAGTGAAAAACTTAGAAATATTGAGCTTGGCAAAGACGGAGGGAGGGAGGATGGCCCTCCTCTTCCTACCTGAAGGACACCTGCCCTCTGGGATGAGGTTCCCCCTGAGGTCCAGGAGGATCCCCCCCCCCGTTGTGGTCGAAACGGGGGACACTGACCTGGCTCAGCATCCCCCCCCCCCCAACCTTCCTTGGGCAAGGAGACCCACGGCCTTTCCCCTCCCTAGCCTGCCATCTTCTGGAATTCCTAGAAGACAGAATCATAGGAGGGCTGGACCTGCAGGTGATCTAGTCCAGGGCTCCCCAGCCTTGGCCGCTTTAAGCCGGGCGGACTTCAACTCCCACAATTCCCCAGCCAGCTTTGCTGGCTGGGGAATTCTGGGAGTTGAAGTCCGCCCGGTTTAAAGGGGCCAAGGTTGGAGAGCCCTGATCTAATCCGATGGCAAGTGATAGAAATTTCGGGCAAAAAGCACCTTATTGTGGACAGTGAGTTCGTTTAACAATCTTGGGGTTCACTTGCTGTTTACAGCTACCACATTTGCTTATCAGCCACCGCAAAAAAAGGACATGAAATTGAGGCCAGTCACATGCTTTATGACCATCCTGACCTACAACCATAATTGCAGGGCTGAATTTTAAAAGACTTAAAAAGTCTCCCCTGTCCAGTCGTGGCTTTAGGAGTTCATGTCCATTTCCTAGCTGAGGGAGCCAGAGTTGGCCAAAGATGCTTCCGTGTCATGTGGCCAGAATGACTACACACCAAGGTGCACGGATTGTTGTTACCTTCCCACCAAAGTGGTACCTATTTATCTGCTCACATTTGCATGCTTTCAAACTGCTACGTCGGCAGGAGCTCACCCCATTGCAAACCTGGGCTGCCATCTTTCGTTAAGGCTGCCAAGCTCAGCGCCTTCACGGCTGAACTGTCGCACCCTCTGGGCCTAAATTACTCTACTGTCATTTGTCATGTAATATTTGATCGGTCTTATAGGCCAATTTAATCTTTCCAGTAAAGATTAAGCCTGCTATACTAGTTTTTCAGTGCGTCTTTTTCACTGTCCTTCAGATATTCTTCCAAAGCCCCTTTTTCTTCTTTTCTTCTTCTGTTGCATATATAGAAGGTTCTTTCTCTTATCCTGAAGAGCAGGACAGAGATGGAGCAGGTTTAAATTATGGACAAGTGTATTCTGCCTGTGTGTTATAAAACCCTCATGTAGTCGGAACAGTGCAACTACTCGGGGGGAGCCCTACGGTGGGTGCCCTTTACTGGAAGTGTTGTAAATAGAGGAAGGCAGGAGGAAGGTGGACAAAGGCACCTGCGGAAGGTGAGCTCCTCCTTGGAGCAGGGAAGTGGAGGCTAAGAAGGGCCTCCCAGCCGTTCTACCATAGACGTTGGATCCGCTTGGAGGCTCCCCTTTTCCCTCACAGTATAACATCTCAGCAAGCCAGTCGCCAGTAGGGTTTCCTGGGATTTGCCAGGAGTCCTGCTCAAATGGTTTTGGACCTGCAGGGTGGATGTTGATGCCTCCCTTCTGGGTTTGGGGTGGGACGGGCGGTCGCTCCTTGCTCCTCCCCCACCTGAAGCCCCTCTGCTCCTGCCTTCAGGACTTCTGCGTGTGCCAGTCCTTGCGCTGCAAGAGGTTCACCAGGCTCATCACCCTGCAGCTCCACTTCCTGACCACCCCGCACAAAACCAAGCTGATTAACCTGAGTCGGAAGAGCTTGCTGCCCTGCATCCTGGCACTGCCCAGGTTCTACCAGGTGAGAAGGGCCTCCAGGGAGGAGAAGGTGGGCTTTATCTGTTAAGATGGGAGAAGGAAAATGCCAGGAGGGGGGGTGTCCCTCTTTCCTATCATGGCCCTCGGAGGGGGAGGGGGGCAGTTCGGAAATGCTGATTGATTAATTAAATACATTAAGTCACAGAAATAAATACAATACAAAACAAGCCTCTTACCCCTCAAAATTGCACCAGGGCTGAACTTACACCCAGTTCTTGAAGTTCTGGCTGCCGCGGCATTCTCACGTTCACCTGGTCACGAATTGGGCATCCTGGGACCAGAAGGTCGGCCCTTGTCAGCTTCCCCCAAGCGAAGTCAGCGGGGAAGCCGACCGGGAAGGGTCTCCAGGCGCTCTGATCCAGCCCGGCCGGACTTCCCGCCCTCGCCCTGGGCTCTCCCCCCCCCCCCCCCGCAGCCCCCCCCGGCCCCTGCTTCCGCTCTTCCTCCCACGATTCCTCTGCAGCTTGCACTGTTTTTTTGCTTCTTCGCTTCCCTGCATTGCTGTTTCCAGTTCCAGGATAAGGTCTGAGGCTTTAACAGCCTCGGTGGACGTTGGGCACCCCCGCTAACTGCTCCTCCCTGGCCGTGGGAAAGCGGGGGACCCCCTCAGAATGCATATGCCCCCCCCTCTTTCTCCTCCAGGCAGCTGTGGTGGCTGAGGCCTACGACTTCACGCCAGACTGGTCAGAGGTGCTCTATCAGCAGGTGGTCCTGAAGGGCGACTTCAACTACCTGGAGGAGTACAAGCAGCACGGGCTGCTGAGGACCGGCACCTTCGAAGAGATCGCCCACAAGTGAGTCTCGGCCTCTTCCGTGCAGCTGGGAAGGCGGCGGTTTGTGGCTGCTGCCAAGAGGAAGCGATGGGGCCGAAGCTTTTGGGGCTGGGGAGGAGTTGGGGGGGGGAGGGCTCTGTTCACCGCCCGGCCTTCCCTTTCAGGTTCAAGCAGAACGCAGCCAGCGAGTCCGTTGTCAGAAACCTGAAGCAGCTCTTGACTTACTGCGAGGACATTTATGTCTACTACAAGCTCGCCTATGACAACCAGTTCTACGACGTGGTGAACATGCTCTTGAACGACGCCCAAACAGGCTGCTGTCTCAATGATTTGCTGGCCAATTAGCTCGTCCCGGCTGGGCAAAGCAAAACTGCAAACAAACTTAGACGAGCCAGGGGAAGAAAAAAAACACCCCGTATTTTCAGTCATGCAGATGAAAAAAAGAAAAGATGCTGGTTTTCAAATGCCCTGATCTGCACAAAATACAGGATTATTCATCTGGGACTTGGTGTCAAATACATAGACTTCTGAAGTGTTCCAGACTTCTGGAAGGCCTCTGCCATTGGATTAAAAGAACTTCACACTGAAGACCAACTTCCTTGGCTGAAGCTTAAGAGAGAGTTTTGAATTAGCTCACGGCCAGAGCGCAAAATATATCTGAATTCGACCTGGGAGTATTTCTGAATTATTTTTTTCTTCCGTACTAGAAGACAAGTAGCTTTTCAGATCTATTTTTGGACCTATTAGAGCGGCTTTCTGAATCTGGCCCTATTTTGGATTTCAGTGACTGCAGCGCCAGGGAATTGGAAGTATTACGGCTCTATGTGTCACTTTCAAGGGACTTGCCAAGGCGGGCAGCTCCACCTTGTGCTCATAGCTGTGTGCAAGGCATCTATGAATGGCTCAAAGAACCAGAAAGTGCTGGTGTTCTGTTAGTTTGGGAGTGTGGGGAAAGCTTTAGATCAGAGGTCTCCAACCTTGGCCGCTTTAAGACTTGTGGACTTCAACGCCCAGAATTCTCCAGCCAGCTCTGCTGGCTGGAGAATTCTGGGCATTGAAGTCCACAAGTCTTAAAGTGGCCAAGGTTGGAGACCTCTGCTTTAGATACTTTATAGATACTGGGAAAGGAGGCTAAGTGTGGGTCTAATAACCAAGGCTGGTTAGACATCCTGCCCTGGGAAGCCATGGCAGTAAAGGAGGATGCCTCTTCCTCCAGAACCATGGGGATCGGAGTTTGGAAGCCATGTCGTGGTTGTGGCTACCAACCGATTATTGTTCTGTCCTTAAAGATAATACAATTTAGCCACTTGTATGTTTAGGAAGAGGAGCCGTTACTGGATTTGCTCATGTCTTGAGAAATTATCTTTCTTCCCCCACTCCTTTTTTTTGGGGGGGGAGGAATCTTTCCAGTCACTGGCTGTTAATGGAGGGCAGCCTCAGACTGAAGAGAGGAAGGTGTGGCCAGAACTGGACAATTCACACGGCCACCTGAAGGGGTGGAGAGAAGAGTCGCCGGCCTTCCCTGGGCAATTTGGTCCCTTGTCAGCCATTGTTATTATTGCCCACAGGAAAAGCACAAGCTGACCAAAAATCTCAGTCCTCACAATAGTGATTTTTATTAAATTAGTTGCTTTTATAAAACATTTGCAGATGTCATAATTCTGAACATAACAATTTGCCCAACTATTGTAACTGTTGCAGTTTGCTAAGCAGGATTCCTATACATGGAGAAAAAACAAAAACCAGAGTCTTGTGAGAGCCACCAAACCAGTGACAAGAAACTGTCCCAAAGAATCAGCCGAGTGTCAGCTGAACTGCTCAAAGAAGGTCCTTCCGTCCCCCTCCCGGGGCAAGAAAAACTGCCCCTTTCAAGCTTGGAAGTCAGGGAAATTTATAGCTACGTCCCTCAAGCCACTGAAAAACCAAATTCTATTAGAAAAGCCATTTTAACACTACTGCAAACCCATGCATTTGCTGCAAACTGCCTTTTGTTTTCTGGGTCGTTTCTTGTAAAAAAAGGTACAGTTAAAGATTGTTATTACTAACTCTGCTGGTAATAATACGACTTCAGCCAGATCAAAATTAATGTCCAATTTAGTGCTGCTTCGCGGCCATGAAGACACGCCTCTTTGAGATTCCATTATTTCCTATCATCGAATAAAAAAATTGAGCTTCATAATTTTATTCCCTCGGCTTCAAGACAGGCATTCCAATGTGTCGAGTTGTGACAGGATAACCAGCAGCACAAAGATACCGCACTTTCTGATTGTTGCATTTGGCAGAATTGAGAGGGAAAGGAGTTGTGCTAGAGTTAGGGGAGTTTGGGCAAACCAACAGGCGGAAAGAAGGGGTCACATGAAGTCTTCAAAGTCTTGTACGTAGCCACCATCATAGCCACCATAGTCTTCCAGGTCGTCTTTCATCGTTGCTTTTAGACCTCCGCCAGGCACCACTCCTTTTTTCTTCTTTTTGGCTTTATTTTGCTGGGAAGAAAAAGAAACAGCTCAGATTTAAGAACACAAGTGGACCTGGACAATCCTGGGCTAGAAAAGGGAAAAGCAAGCATCAATTCCCTTACAAGCCACTGTGCTAGTTTCCCCCCCACCAAGAAACCAGCCAGGGTTGATGAAAGCTGAAATCCAGAATGTGTGGAAGGTACCAAATCAAGAAAAAAAAAAACCCTTTGCATTTATTCTGACATGCGGTGTTGTGTAACCAATGGGAGTATTTACTTTCATCAGGACCCTGATCAACGTTTACAGGCTGCTGTGTCAAGCAACTAAACCAGCTTGCCAGAATAAAGACAAGAGGTGCTTCTTCAATTGTAGAAAGTCTAGAAGAGGGGTCACCAAACTTGGGCCAACTTTAAGACTTGTGGACTTCAATTCCTAGAATTCTGGGAGTTGGTCCACAAATCTTGAAGTTGCCAAGTTTGGAGACCTCTGGTCTAGAAGGAGCAGATGTTTTCATGGAGCCCGTAGAAGGAAGCTACGTGAGGTGCCAAGGGCCTTCCCAGCACAAGCCACCGGTCCCTCCCCCAGGTCGAGCAGAATGTCACGGTGGCTGCCAAAGCTTGGAAGAGGCCCCCACCCCTCCCTCAACCCACCTTCTCCTGCTTCTGCTTTTCGCTGCATAGCACCGTCAAGGAATTGGTGATCTTTTTCAAGTCATCGACTTCCACTAAAGGAGGAACAAGGAGCGGATTATTTACAGCTTGCTTTTTCTGCCCCCAAAAGAAGGGGGACAAAGGAATCTTATGTCACAAGAAAAGCTCTGGAATATCTGGGAAAATATGTTTAGGGAAAATGCCGATAAGCTGGAAGCTTAGGGGCAGGCAAAAGATACCACACAGTTGTAGGGAAGGTCATATGCTCCACCAGGTGTCCGGCTCGTCTGTGAGCAGCCTGCCTTCCTTCACGGAAAACTAAGATTGGCTATGTTGTTTGTAGAAAAAAATTAAAATCCACAGTTGAGCTGTGGATGTTCATTTTTTTTCCTGAATGTTTTATTTGGCAGGCCAAAGATGGCCTCTGTACTGTCCACTGACTTGTTCAAAATGTCATAGCAGCCTATAAGTATCTGAAATGAGCCTCTCTTCAAAAGCTCCTCTTCCCACTTATTTTTTTATTTTGTCAATTGCTTACAAGATAATAGGTATAAGTAAAAACATAGCTATGAATACATGGATACACATAAGAAAAATAATAAAAGAAATAGGACAGGGACGGTAGGCACGTTGGTGCGCTTATGCACGCCCCCTACAGGCCTCTTAGGAAAGGGGTGAGGTCAATAGTAGACAGTCTAAGGTTAAAGTTTTTGGGGTTTGGGGAAGAAACCACAGAGTCAGCTAAATCAGGTAGATTTCATCAGACAATCGTCCTCCGGTGACCTGGATTGTAACTCCAAAGGCTCCTGAGGCCAGACAGCCCCCTCACCTCCCCACCCAGAAATCCCCAATGACGACACCACAGCTCTTGCCCAGTGCCCAGCCTGGCTCCCTCAGGCCTCCAGATGGAGCTGCCCCTTCCTGGCCAGATTCCTTCTCAATCTAAGAGCTCACACATTGCAAACTATTAGGTGCCAAAATTAACATTCATTTAACTGAGTAGACAGAAGACAAGTATGCCTTCTTTCCCCACTGCTTTTCCTAACATTTAAAATTATCCAAGACTTGATGGAAATATTTGAGAAGTAAAGCTGCCTACAACACATTTAACATCTGCTATCAACCTGAGATTATTACTGTAGCCTATAAAGCATCAAGGAGAAATGAACAATTTGTGTGAATGTCCATATGGGATACCAATAGTTAATTGGTTAAATTCTGTTGTGATAAAGTCAACACAGGCTAAGACGTTAAAAAATGGAGGGCTACCAACAGCCCTGGTTTCCCAATGAAAAACAGTATTTAAGAAGGTATTTTTGGCTTATCCGATGTAGGTTAAATCCTAAGCTTTATAACACCTTCATTAGAAAAAGTGTATATTAAATTGGATATGGCTTTCTTCCCTTCAGTGAATTTTATATTACATTTTTAGCACAAGTTATTAGAAATTGTTTTAACTTTATGAAGTTAAAATACATCTTTATAGAATACAGTAACTGGTTAAAGCTTTGAAATTGTAAGCAAGCCAAATGGACAGAAATATTAAATATGATGAACCATTTAGGAAAGGAACGGAGATTTTTCTCTTCAAATGATTCTGAATTAAGGAGGTAAGGTATATTTAGATATTTTTGAAATATGCTGAACATGTTGGGAATCACCCAGGTGCCTTTCTTGTAAAATAAATAGAGGATCTGGTTGTGGAAATAACGTTCTACTATCTTAGCAGCAGCATTAAAATAGAACATAGAAGACATTACAAAACCTTTCCTAGACTGAGTTAATAAATAACAAATTCAATTCCATTAGCCTGATCTTTTTCACTGGAGAATTGTTCTAATATGTTCTTTGTTTCCAAGCTAAGCAGGGTGCAAACAATAGTGTTTCACTAAACGTACTTACATGAAATGCATATATCTCGAACTAACGTTTCCAAAAATCCAGCATAATATAGAGATTTCTCGTAATGTGTTATTTTTTCTTTTAACAATTTCCCAAATTCCGTAAAATCATCTTTTGAGGATGGATTCATAGTATCTATTCCACATACGTTATGTACACCTGTAAGAGAGGAGCCAGGTTTGGAGAGGGCTGCCCAGGCGCAGGGCCTCATCAGCAGACGATCCGGGGACCCCCTGGCAGCCTTCAAAACGACCCCCCCCCCCCCCCCCCCCCCCCAAGGTTTCTTTGGCCAGCTCCAGGTCCGCCTCTTCTTGCAGTTTCTGCAACCGGAGCTTGTCTGCCAGCTGCTCTTCCGGCGTCAGGTCTTTCGAGTCTTCCGACTCCTCTAACTTCACAAGGGAGACAAGGCAGGGCTGCAGGCACCGGAGGCCGCCCAGGCGCCGGGGCGAGGCAGCCGCTCCCCGCCCGCCCATCCCCTTACCCTTTTCTTGGCCTCCTCCTGCTTCTTCCGCAGCAGCTTCTCCCGCTCCTTTATCTTCTCGGCTACTTTCTTCTTGTCGGAAACTTTGGATTCTGCGGAGAGGCACGGGGTTAGCGGCGGAGGCGGCGGCGGCGGCGGGGGCTTCCCGCGGGGCTCCCGGGGACCCGCCGCCCGGCCGCTCACCTGGCTTGGCCTCGCCCTCCTTCTCGTCCTCCTCCTGCTGCTCCTCCTCCTCGTCGTCCCAGTTGTCCTGGCCGGGGCAGAGCAGAAGCGCCGGTCAGGCGCCGGGAGGCCTCCGCCCGCCTGCCCGCCTCCCGCAACGCACCGGGGGACGGTCCCGGGCCCCCCGCCGCCGCCGCCGCGCCCGCCCGCCCCCCTCCCGGCCACCTTGACGTCGTCGTCCTCGTCCTCGCCGGCCCAGCGGTCCCTGGTCACCACGGCAGGGGTGGGCCCGAGGAGCCCGGCCAGCGGGTCCGGCGCCTCGAAGGTGTCCGCGTCTGCGGGGACAGAGAAAGGGTGAGCGGAGGGCCCGGGCCGGCCTGGCCGGAGGCGGGGAGAGAGCGGGAGCGGGCGGCGGGGGCGCTGGACCTACCCCAGGAGTCCGCCTCGGCCGCCATCTTGCCCGCCGCCCTCTCGCTCGCGGCTAGCCCAGACCAGCAGGCAGGAGGGGCCGCGCACGGCACGACGGGACTTCCGCCCCGCCTCCCCCAAACGCGCTTCCGGCTTCCGCCGGCGTCCCCGGAAGAGGCGGGGCGGGAGCCGCAGAAACCCGCCCCCCCTTGTCCGTAATGGAGCTCCTGGAGGGAGGCGTGGTCGGGAGGGCTCACCCGCCGCGTCGCTCCGCCCACCAGGCGGACCGGGGCGATGGGCGGGGCCGGAGGCCGCGCGCCCTTCCACGCGCGCAGGGAGGGCGGCGGGCTTCGTCGTGAGGCGCTGTTCTCTTGGAAGAGATTCCCGAGTGTTTTGTTTGACAACCGGGCTCCCAAGGAGGCCATTCAGTGGCTCTCTTTCAATGTGTCCATTGAAATGAAATCCTCATCAATGTGTCCTCCCCCAATTATATTCAAAGAGAACATAATAATTTTACCTCAGCGCAAGCATAAATAGGCTCGTGTTTATACCAGAGGCCTCCAAACGTGGCCATTTTAAGACATGTGGACTTCAACTCCCAGAATTCTCCAGCCAGCTTAGCTGGCTGGAGAATTCTGGGAGTTGAAGTCCAAATGTTTAATTTTCAAAGTTTAGGGACCCCTGGTTTATACTGAGAATTTAGACAATTCCTTGCGCGTCCAATCCCACTTGGCCAATATTCTAATACAAGACCAAGCCATCATTTATCAAACCATTTGACATCTCTACTGAAAATTAAAAACCAGACTTGCACCAAATTACAAAATGATAGTTTAATAAGTATTTACAGAGCAGCCTGCAGCGGTTGATTTGGTTGTCCTAAGTAGGATTAAGTTACCCATATTACCAATCATTTTAGACTTTAAAACCTCACATTCCTTTTTTTTTTTTCCCTCCTCCTCTTCAGGGACCAGTGTTGTTATTTGCGGTATTCCACCTTAACAAAAAAGCGGGTTTATTAATTTTGTTCATGAAAACGCACATTTGCTTTAAAAAGTTACTCTAAAAAGATGCTGTACAATTCCCTTGAAACAGTAGCAGAGAAATGTCCGTTGTGTTGTTTGGAGGCAAGGACTGCTGTTCAATTTACTTGGTAGTGGATTTGCAGAAAATAATCTCTGAATGCAGCATAAGCAAACCATCATAGCAGTAAGAAAACCACGCACTCGCTCTCTTATCCCCCCCGCAGAGTCCCACACGGCCGGCCGGCATCCACGGTTCCTCCAAAGAGCCGCCTTCTCTTCACAGTGTTGTCTTTTGGAGCTGGGGAAGAAGATCAATGGGGACCCGGAGCCCTCCGGCCCCTCCTGGGCCCAAGCGACCTTCTGCAGACCACTGGCAGCCATGTGAGCTTATCATCATTAGAAGCCACAGAGGAGCCGCTGGGAGGAATTATTACTGGAGTTACCCCTTCTCTTCAATCTAAAATCATCTGAGTCAAGGACACTCCCACGTGGCTCATAATGATGATAATAATCCACTTTCGTAGATTGGAGAGCATTTAAACATTTTCAAAATCAAAAGGATCAATAAAGCTGTTACTAGCAAAATAGGAAAAAGTGGTTACAGGGATAACCTCTGTGAAAACACACATACACACGCTTACTTACATTATACATAATGTGTGTGTGTGTATGTATATATTTATATATGTATATATATATATATATATTATAGTAACATTATGTACATTTTATTTCAATAAAGACATATAAGACAAAACAGCGTAAAGATGCCCAGATGCCCTAAAGATAAATACAATTCAAAGATTCTCATTAAAATGAATCTGTAGCATTTTCCCGCAAGCAAAATACCTTTCTTTAAATACAAAAAAAAGTCAGCATTCTGGATAGCAAATGCCTTTTTTCTCTTTTCACAGAAAATTCACCATAATTCTGTGTTAAATGAATAATTTCCCATAAAGCAGGCTTGCTCTACATGCTAACTTTTTAACAGTTCAGTGACACATGTGCTAGCTACATATATAACAGATAATATAGTAAGAAAACACTCAACCTGATGAAAAGTTAAAATCTTCATTAATACATTGGAAAAAGTTGATATAATTCATGCCTTTTAAAATCAAAAAATACAAAAATTAAATGTTTTCCTAAAAAGATTTTCCTTATTTTAAGGACTCATTCAAAAATGAAGCTGTGTGTAATTTGTACAATAAAATTGTACAAGTAAACAGGTAATATACATAAAAAATTAATTGACATACTTCTCAATTATCAGTTGTCCACCTTTAATTTCCAATACTGTTCTTTCTTTAACAAGCATACAAAATATCAAACTTCTCTTTAGAAAAAGTGCCATTCTGCAACATCCTTTACATAAAAACAGCCCAAGCCTGTGGCGTATCTATGCAGTTTAGAGGCAAAGCTTACTAACTTCTACAAATTTTTCCCTTCCATAAAAAGCCTCCCAAAAAGGAGAGTATGCTCCATTAAAAAAATATCAGCCTCTTGTGTAACCTGCATTTGAGAACCAAGGCTTGAAAACTATTTCCATATAATATAGAAAACCACTATGATAGCATATCAGCTGCGTGCGCAGCGACAGAGTGTCCAGGACCACAACAGCAGGCAGGGTGACAGTGGTGCACAGACTGAGCCACACGGAAGTTTCAAATGGGCTGGTGCAACCTGCAGGGTAGAGGGCCAACCAAGGCAAGGCTTGGCTACTCTTCCTATTCCCCTTGGTGGAGATCCTGGTCCGGCAGGAGCTGGGCTGCCATTACACCAAGCAAATTCTCAAGGACTCCTACGGACAGGAGACTGAGGCACCGATCTCTCGCTCTCACTCTCTGAGCTGTGCACACCACCACAAAAAAAAAAAAACATCTGTCCACAGTACATGCCATCACGATGGTTTAAATATTCTGCATATTAGTAATTCTTATATTTCTTATCTAGCCAGTCTCTTGATTTTTTTAAAAAAAGATTTCCACTACAGTAGAATGAATGAATGAATGAATGAATGAATGAATGAATATATATATATATTCATTCATTCGTACACAGAAAAAAAAAACTAGATGATTTTTAAAAACAAATATACAGTATGCAGGCAGACAGAGCAGGAAAATGGCCATTCAATCGAATAATAAAAATTAATCAAACTTGGCTATTCCCAGAAAAATATGAAGTCACCTCAACTAAAAGGAATGCATAATGAAATCCTAAACTTGAATACAGATCAAAAATGTAAAAAGGTTACAAACCTTTAACAGGAAAAAAATTACTGGCCATTCCTGTTGAAATGAGAATTTTAAAAGTAACACAAAGTGGCTACAAACCCACTTAAGAGAGCACCAAACAGAGAGAAAACAAGAGTCCATTTTCAATCTCTGTGATTTCATAAATCCTGTATTTTTATAGGATAAACTGCTGGTGGCAGAAACAGAATTCTTTAAAAACGGCAGGTGTTCGTCTGTACATTAAAAACCATTGGAGTTGCACTAGATCTAAAGACTGTTCTGTTCTAGCCTACCTACGGATACTGCACGTCTTTCCATTTGGCGATATAGAAAGTTCTTCTGTAACCCTTTTATTACTGTTGGGCACCAGAGATAAGAAAAGCGAGAAAGGGTACAAAAATGCAAAAATTTCAACAGTAATGGCAATGTTTTTGTTCTAGTCCAAAAAGAAAAAGGATCCTGCATTTTCTTTCCCTTCAGAGCTCTTTGACCAAAGATTGAGTTTAATCGGGGGGCAGTAAGTCATGCAAGCGAAATCTGTCTCGGATGTGAGGTCGAACATCTTCATTCTAGAGATGGGGAGAGCAAAACAAAACTCCATCACCTTTCATGTATCAGAGTCAAGTTAATTTGTGATAATAACCTTTGGAATTGGGAGCGCAGTCAGAGGCTTCTGCTTTTTGTTGCAAAGAAAGAAGAAAGGGAGCCAAGAGAGGATCACAGCCTGTGGAAAGGCTGACATCCTCTCTGACCGCCTCTCTCCACAGCTTTTGAAACCCTGCGGCCCTTATTTTCCACTGGTCACCACATTCAAAGAAAACAAGACACGGGGGGCTCAAAAATCCTCTTACATTTTCTTCCAAATCAGGATTCCTGTTATGCCCCTCCCGTAACAATTTCAGATCTGCACCCAACATTTTATGCTAGCTTAGGGTTACTGAAATGTTTGCCAGTTCTTACTGAGCTTCTATTTAGTGAAGTTAGTTCTACTGGCAATTAGCAATGCGAACCAGTTTTAATTCTTCCCAAATTCAAACTTGGGCTTGTCAAGAAATGTGGCTTCATTGGTCTCTGTAATCTCACCCCAGGGAATGGCTAACAAGCACTTGACAGATATCTTCCACGCCCCCAAATGTTTTTCTGTGGAGACACTTCTGTGAGGTTGCATTATGAAACCTTCAGCTCTAGTCGACATGCTTATAATTCTGATTAAAATGTGCATTCTAAAAAAAACAGAATTCACTCATACGTTGAGTATGGACAGGAGACGAGCCATTACAGATAATCCTCAACTTCCAACCACAGTTGAGACCAACATTTCTGTTGCTAAGCAAGTCAGTTGTTAAGTGAGTTTTGCCCTATTTTACGGACTTTCTTGCCACAGCTGTTAAGTTAATCCCTGCAATTGTTAAGTTAGTAACACGGTTGTTAAACGGATCTGGCTTCCCCACTGACTTTCCTCTGACTTTGTCAGAAGGTTCACTGCAACTGTCACAAATATGAGTCAGTTGCCAAGCACCTCCGTTTTGATCATGTGGCCCTGGGGAGGCTGCAAGGGTCGTAAGTGTGAAAAACGGTCATAAGCCCCTTTTTTTCCAGTGCCGTTATAAGTTCAGTCACTAAATGAACTGTTGTAAGTTGAGGACTACCCGTACTCCAAAAGCTCTACAAAACATCACCTTGCTCGACCTTGGACAGAGGACTCCCCTTTAAGAGGCTAGAAAAGTTTTATTCAAACGTGTTTTTGGACAGACCAGGGAAACTGCTGCTGCTGCTGCTGCTATAAAAGGCAGCGAGAGAAGCGCTCCCTAAAGGAAGGTAATGCAAAGACACCCGAAGGCGTTTCCCAAGTCAGAATCCGCTACCCTGAATCATGCTACTTTAATCTATGAAGGTTTAAGAAGAAAATATATATGTAAAGACTACTTACCAGTTCTACAAGTTTTTCCAGAAAAGGAATCAACTTTAGAAGCTCATTGTCATTTTTATCCATGAACCAGCTTTCTATAGGAATTCCATTTGAAAGCTAAATCAGTAAAAAAAAAAAAAATTAAAAAAAGAGGTAAGATCTCTTTTTCAGCAGTTCCCCTATTAATTCAAGTTTTTAAAAACTCTTCCCAAATGTAAATGGGGGGTGGGGGTGGGGGCAGGGGAGGAGAACAACTGAAAACATCCCTCCACCTGTTCATTTTGCTCAGGACAGGTGGCAGTGCTCATTTACATAACTAGGCTCGATTTATGACAAATGATCATAAAAGAATATTCAGGGTTAAAAGGTGCACCAAAAGATGTGGCTGAGAGCCTGACTAAAATAATCAAGCAAAAAGATGATTATCCCTTTTTTTCTCATTCACGTGGAGACAAATGAAACGACCACAAACCTGAAAACAGTATTGAGACTACGAGCAACTCAGCAGGAAAGTGAAGGAGTTAGGTGCACAGGTGGTGTTTTTATCTTTTGTACTTCCAACAAAAGGTCAACATCCAACAAGGGATTGTGCCATCGAGGGAACATCAAGTTTCTAGACCACAGTCTGTACTACCAACTTGAAGGGCTTCTGTCAGGAGATGGGTTGCATCTCACAGGAACCAGGGAAAATGTATTCGGAAGACCACTGGCTCAGCTTATCCAAAGGGGGAGGGGGACCAATCTTTAGGACCAACAGAGAGAACGAGTAACCAGTGGAACAGCTTCCCTCCAGAAGTTCACTGGAGGCTTTTAAGAAGAGACTGGACAGCCACTTGTTTGGAATGGTATAGGGTCTCCTGCTTGACCAGGGGGTTGGACTAGAAGACCTCCAAGGCAATTAACACCTGGGCAATTCCAGTCATTAGATACAAAGCTGGAATTGTGGACAGAAGCACAATTAGAAACCCTGGATAAGAAGACCAGAAAAATGAGGACAAGGAATCGTGCCCTTCATCCATGCAACAATGCTTGCAGACTCTATTTACAGGTACAAGTGGATGTGGAATGTTCAAGTACGCCAGTTGAAGAACAAAAAAATCGCTTTGGAAGAATATTTGAAGGATAGTGAAGAGGATGCACTGAAGCTAGTATACCAGGAAGGCCTACTGAGTGCCAGAGAGACCATACTGGCCTATAAAAAAGACCAAATGAAGGATGAAAGAGAGACATGGCAAGAAAAAGTATTACACAAGCACATTACAAATAGCAGGCGATGAAGATTAACAGGAAGACCTGTCTAAGAACTGGGAAAGTTGAAGAAAGAGACAGAGGGGCTAATTCTGGATGCACAAGCCTGAAGAACAATTGCAAACAAAGCAAGAATTGAAAAGACAGTGACAACAAATGCCACCTCTACAAAGAAGCTGAAGGAACAGTGGGCCATCTGCAGGAAGACTCCATACAAACAGCATGACAAAGTAGCAAGAGTGATGCACTGGAATATCTGCAAGAAATACCACTTGCCTAGAAGCAAGAACTGCTGGGACTAAAAGATAGAAGATGAAGAAGCTAAAATGCTGTGGGAATTTGGAATTCAAACAGGCAACCACCTGTCATATAATACCCCCGACGTTAACAGTTGTTGATCAAAAAAGAAAAAATGTCTGGACACTGCAAGACCTAGAGACATAGAAGAACAAGAACTGTAGAAAATTACAAAATGCCAATACAAAAACCTGCAAAGTAGAATGACTCTGACAAAAGAAATCAAAGATAGCAGGAGTAGTAAATAGGCGTCTTGGGTTCCATCGCAAAACATCTGGATCACCACTTGAACACCACTGATATTGACAAATTCACCAAGAGTCAATTGCAAAAGGCAGCTTTACTTGGAACAGCTTACATCTTGGGAGGATACCATCAAACATCTGTGTATCCCAGATGCTTGGGAAGGAGTCAGGTGGATAAAAATGCCAAATTACATCTAAACATCTGGCTTGCTGTATGATCAACCATAATAAATTTATATGTTGCCTGACTCAGCAACTCTGGGCGGTTTAGAAAGAGTTAAAAACTTTTACAAAACAAGTAACATTAAAAAATAAGATTGCAAACAAAACAACCCTGAATGTGGCAGGAACAAAATTTGTGGATCCTTTAGAAATATCCACAATTGTGCATTACTGATATTACATGCGCTCAGGACTTCTTCAAAGTTATGTTAACTGATGGAGATTCTGGTTAAGCAAACAGCACAAAAAGCAGTGCACCGTGGCAAGCTTTTACTTAAGCACACAGAGCCAGCACTGGCTCTCTGTTTTAGAAAAGGTCTGCAAAACTTTAGCTGAATTGTAGTGACCTCAACCAAAGCTTTTCTGTACCTCTCAATCAATTGCACAGACTGACTTGAGATCTTTTGGCCTATTCCTCTGCAGGCCAAAATCTCCTTCTGGTCAGGTGAGCAGGAAAGCCCATTTTTTCTGAAATCTGCAGGGATTTTTAATAGGGGCGTTATTCACTTCCAAAATCTGTGTCACGAAGAGTCTGGTCCCTTGGACTGCCACCTTCAGTTTGGGGTTTCTCGTCCTTCTTCCCTAAGGGCACTGCTGGCCAGCTCAGGTGTTCAAGACAAACCTGGCACCGTGCAATGTTTGTGTGCCGTTTGCTCGATCGGAATCTCCCTTCTTGGGGCATGGACGATGCTTCGATTGCACTGTAGTTCATGGTACTGCAGGAGTATGGCTGCATCTACTGGAAGGGGGGGGGAGGGACGACACGCACCTTCCCCTTGCGCTGTCTTGCCGTTGCTTTCTGGGCATATGAGAGCACAGAGGGTGGGCCGGCCCTGAAGCGAAGACCAGCTGAAGCTGGGGACTCCAGTGGGGAGTCCAAAATCACCACGGAAGCATCCCTAGATGCCTTCCATTCTGCTGCCAAGAGAACAATTTAAAAATGCCTTCAAAGTCAACAGACGCAGGGAATGATTTGAAGGAGACTTTACTTAGTATTGTAGTAGAATCTGAAACACGACCCACAGGAAATAAACTCACCTGGTAAGCAAAGGCTTGTGGTGAATTGTCGATGATGATTGTTTTTGAGAGATCTCTACCAAGGATATTTAAATCTTTTATGTAGTTCCCTTGCACACAAACACAATGTTCACGGAAAAGTCGATGCCTATTTTTAAGAACACATTTAGGTTGCATTCAGACAGGTGTAGATAAAGAAAATACTGTCGTCAAAACCCCATCACCTATTCTGTGCGTTAAGAACAATCTTCTGGACAGCAGAGCTTTGTTATTAAAAAGGAGATTTAAAAAGCCACGGTCAATTCTTTCTCAATTAAAGGATCCAGCTGCCTAGCCACAGCAATGCAATAGGGTCTTAGCTTAGGGGCCCTGACCTCATTAGCTGTTTTTTCCCCTCTTCCAAATACTCTCTCATTATTTAACTGAACTAACCTGAAAGTTTGTGGGGGACATAAAGCAAAGGGCGTATCAATCAGAATGAACTGCAGTCCACTTGTAGAAGGGGTCTGCTCCTAACTACCCTAATGAGGGCTGGGTGGTCTTTGGACAAGCAGGAGCGAGGACCTAGTCCAGTGGCAAACCCTTTAAAGCAACCAAGCCTTTTCTCAGGCCTGCATCACTTGAAATATTGAGTCTGCTGGGAGGAAGGATATTTAGCCAGCCTCCCTGAAGCAATTTCTAGTATGTGGAGGAAAAGTAAAAATCCAGAAAAGGAGTATTACAGGCTAGAGTTACACTGCAGGGTTTAGTCAGATACTGGTGAAAAATAATAACTTCAGGTTGGAAATTTTTAAGCACACGAAAACTCTTAACAGCTTTTTATCCTGACTACATGTTAGGTATCACTGTAATGCTAAAATAGCATTAAATATACCTATTTTGTTATTCTGGTTAAAATGTAAATAACACATAACTTTCTATTCAAGCTTACCTGACCAGCTGCTTTTTAGGGTCTAATATATTCAGCAATTTGTCTGCATAGACCTTTTTAGAAGCAGTAAAAAGAATGATCTAAAAGAAAGAAAGGAAGAAGCAATTGCAATCCATTCTATCAAAAAAGGCAAAGAACTTGAATATCACACAAAATTTTTAAGCGTCTTCCATTACCTCATAAATTTGGGACATACACTCCAAGAATTCTCTGAAAAATGGTCTTAACCGCACATAAACCTAAAGAGAAAACAAAACAGTAATTTTAACTATGGAACACAAAGAAGGTTTATTTCAAATGGCAGAGACTTCAGAAATTACAGAGTAAGGCACACTGTTTAATATATTAACATTATTTTTTATTTTTTTTAAGAATCTATGAAAAAGTAATACTAACTAGCATATTTGTAGAAAGACATACAAGGCAGCCTTTAGAGGCAGCCTTTTTGCTTAGAACAGAAACACAACAGAGATAATCTTTTATAAATGCAAACTTTTGAGATTTAAGATTCTTTTTCAGTCAGAACTTTCATCAGACTGATTAGTTCACCCACAAGGACATATCTGACAAGTCAGTATTATCAGAAACAATATGTTTATATCCAAGCAATGCAGAATTCCCAGGAAAAGCTTTTCTTATGACACTAAACAGAATTTTGCTTTTCAAGTACAATGCTCAAAAGTCAATTGAATTAATTTATGTGGTTAACACTTTTTCTTGTCTACATTTTCCACCAGAAAGTCACCAGCAAACACAAGGTTGAAAAGAAATATTATTCTTAAGCATCTGATGTTGAGATCATGATCATTATATAAAAGGTCCTAGGATTGTATTTGCACACACACACACACACACACTAAATACAAATAAAAAGTGAGTCTCCTTTGGCTGTGAAAACTTCAAGACTCTTTCCCCTTGACAAACCCCTACAGAAGGCCGTGGTTTAAGAAAACACAGAAGGCCATTTCCGCTTTGGTGAGATGCTGAGCAGTTTCCCTGGCTAAGGGAAACAGTTCTTGCCTTTCAAAGTGTCCCCAGCAACAGAGGACAGCATCTCATCACAAAGACCTCTGCCAAGTATGCTAGTAAATTAACCCAACTGGCCTAAAGAATAAGAGAGACCTTACAGGCAGTCCTCGACTTACAGCAGTTCATTTAGTGACCGTTCAGTTACAATGGCACTGAGAAATATATGTGACTTATGACTTTCAGTTACGATCTTTGCAACATCGCCAGGGTCATGTGATCAAAAGTCAGGTGCCTGGCAACTGGTTCATACTTAAAACTGTGGTAGTCTCCCTTTTGTGTGACCTTCTGACAAGCAAAGTTAAAGGGAAGCCAGATTCATTTAACAACCAAGTTACCACCTTATTGATTGCAGTGATTCATTTAACAACTGTGGCAAGAAAGATCGTAAAACGGGGCAAATCTCACTTAACAACATAAATTTTGGGCTCGATTGTGGTCATAAGTCAAGGGCTACCTGTACTTAATTATAAAGTGTGAAAAGCAAATTTGCTTGCCCATGACCATTAATCCATGATGGATTCGTCCATGGCTGACTAACCGCACCCAACATGTAGCCCTCCATGGAACTGCATCTACAAGGAGGGAAGTAGGCAGCGGGGCACCCCAGGGATCTGTTTTAGGCCCAAGACTCTTCAACATCTTCAACAGTGACTTGGATGAGGGGATAGATGGGGAACTCATCAAATTTGCAGATGGCACCAAACTGGCAGGAATAGCCAGCACTCCAGAAGATACAAGATACAGAAGGATCTTGACAAACTTGAACATTGGGTGCTATCTAACAAAATGAAATTCAGGGGTGAAAAAAGGAAGGTTCTACATTTAGGCAAGAAAAAACAAATACATAGGTATAGTATAGGTGGTACCTCGCTCAATAGTAGTAACTGTGAGAGGGATCTTGGGGTCCTAGTGGACAGTCTCTTAAATATGTGCCAGCAGTGTGCTGCAGCTGCCAGAAAAGCCAATGTCAATGCTGAACTGGACCTGCTAGAGGCCATTTTCCTGGTTCATTGTTGCCACACTGTATGGGAGGAGGAAGGAGGTTGGAATGCCCTACTAGATACAACACTGAACTTTCTCGTGAGAACCAAGGCCATCTCCTAGGTGACAGAGGGAAAGGAAGAAGAGTGCCTTGAGGAGTCTGCCAATTAATCTAATGGGCCAACACTGGAGGGAAGGGGTGATTCCTGATTTTAATTATGCTGAAACTGCAGGAAAGATTCAGAGTTGGTTTTCAACCAAGTGTGCTGATATGATTTACCCAATAAAGAAGTTCTTTGAGGAAGTGTCTGGCCTCAAGAGCTCCAATTTGCTTGGGTTCGTTAGTCGGAACCTTGACAGCCAACACAGTTCTAGGCTGCATAAACAGAGAGACAGAATCAAGATCACATGAAGTGTTAATACCGCTTTATAATGCCTTGGTAAGACCACACTTGGAACGCTGCATCCAATTTTGGTCACCACGATGTAAAAAAGATGCTGAGACTCTAGAAAGAGTGCAGAGAAGAGCAACAAAGATGACTAGGGGGCTGGAGGCCAAAACATATGAAGAACAGTTGCTGGAATTGGGTATGTCTAGTTTAATGAAAAGAAGGACCGGGGGAGACATGATAGCAGGGTTCCAATATCTGAGGGGCTGCCCCAACGAAGAGGGGGTCAAAGCACCTGAGAGCAGGACAAGAAGGAATGTATGGAAACTTGTCAAGGAGAGAAGCAACCTAGAACTAAGAACAATTAATCAGTGGAACAACTTGCTCCAAAACTGGAAGAGATTGGACAACCATTTGATTGAAATGGTATCAAGTTTCCTATCTGAGCAGGGGGTTGGACTAGAAGACCTCCGAGGTCCCTTCCAACTCCCTATTCCTATTCCACTCCAATCTATTCTTTAATTCTTGATGGTAGACAACATCTACATACTGTGCAAAATTAACAAGCCTGAAAGGAGACAAAAATACCAAAACTCCTCCCCACCAACAGTCAAAACTCAGATGAGACTACTAGATTGACAGTAGGATTAACATCAAGCCAACAATCAAGAATCAAACAATAACCCAGTGAAGGACCTGCCAAACAAGTAAACGGCCCAACCAAAGAGCCTCTGAGACCACCCGCACTAATACCGACAGGGCAAGCCACCAGAATATCAACTGAGAGCAAGCCCCATGCCTTCTCCACACTGATGATGTTCCCTAGTTTGGGCCATGAAATGTCTGTAGGAAAACAGCCAAGCTCAGAGAGCACCAAAGACCCCTCATTTCAAACCCGAGCTACAAATATTCTCCTTGTTGATATCAGTGCTTCATATTAAGCAATAGCTACGTACATCTCAGTTACCAACCTTGGCCTTCATAAGAATTCTAAAGGGCGTATTAGAGAGCAAAAACAGAAAACTTGTGATCAACAATTTTAAGTCATCCCTCTGTTGTTAAGACACACACATTCAATACTCCTTGGAGAGCATGAAAAACAACGGAAGACCTTCCACTGTACCCTACACTTACCGGAGGTCATTTCTCAATTGTGCCTTCCTGCCAGGTTATACAGGTTGTAGTGGCACAATACTTTAGCACTCTGATTGATCACTGCTACTATTATTTATATTAAAGGCTTCAAGACGCAGCTAACGTAGTAGTTCAATTACTCAAGACTCCTGCTAAAATAAGTGCATTTGCAACAGGGTGTTTATGGATTTATTTGAAAACTCTGACACGACTTCTTCCTGCATTCAACCATTTTTCAGATTGTTGAAGCTGATGTTTCAAGAGTTAACAAAAATAACAAGACACTAAGATAAAATAAGTTAAAAGAACATGACTGAAAAATCTGAAACTGAGCCGGGCCTTTATCCAAGCTGATGCAATCCCCTTCCCTGAGCACAGGGACTCAAAAACACCGGCTTCCAGGAAACGCTACCCTATACGGCCACTTGTCTTGAGCTCCACGGTGACATATTGGGACTGATTCTGAGACGTTCACCACTGCAGCTTACTCTGGGAGAAGTGATTTAAGAAGCCCCAGATGGTTGAGGGTTTGGAGAGTGCATTTCCCGAAAAATGTCCCTGAATATCCAAGTTAGGTTGTAAGGTGCAAGGCCTGCACTTATTAAGAAAATCAAAGATAGGCTTCCAGCAAGATTTAGGGTCTGACAAATGCAAATTTTACATTTTTTTAAAATTATTTCAAAATAAGTAATTTCTTATTAAGTAAATAACCCCAGAAAGACATGGTTATTCTGAATAATATATACCATAGGCAAGAGATCAAAAAACATTCTAGCTGCAACAGAAAAAAAGGCATAATCCACATATCAATAATCACTCTTACTATCCAGAATGGGTAACTACATTATCTAAGTGCATGTAAATGAAAAGAATTCGGACTACTGCCATCATCAGAGAGAAGATAAGAAACCCATGTTTGTATGTATTTTGGAAGATCGCATGTTTCAGGATGTTGAAGGATTGTAAATAAAACAAAAGACAAAAGACAAGTTTTAAAATTAGGGTAAAATACCTGGACAAGTGTCCGTTTAAGGTGTCTGATGTCATTCTCCAAAGTTACTACAGAGGGGTCCAATATCGTGCGAACTACATGGAGGGAAGCTGTTGCTACTCCCAGGTACATCACACAATAGGGACCTGAGAACAACAGCTGGGGTCAGTGCAGCATCTTTGGCAGTTGCTGGAATACACCCCTCCTCCTCCTTCTCCTCCTCCTTCCCCTGTTCTTCACTGGCAGAATTGTTGAATGCACCGTAGATGAGAGCAAAGAATATGTTGCGAAGCACAACGACCAACAGCTAGCAATCTGACAGTCTTCCTTCACAAAGCAACTCTGGCCACGTAACGGCACCTAACTAGGAATGGAGGAATGGATCTAAAAGCAACTCATTCCCAAGGCTGACTTCCCCTGAAGAGCCTAAGTCTGAAGCAGGCTCTTGTTTTATCAAATAGCCATATAGATTTAGAAGGCCTTTTTCCTCACCTCTGCTGCTTAAGAGAAATACTTCTGGCTTCTTAATGGATGACAGTTTTACAATGGAATTATATGGAAATAAAGTAGTAATCCATATGCCACAAATTCCTCGAAGATCTGATGGTTTGCTTAACAATGTTTCATAGAATGTAACCAATGCGGCTAAATTACCAACCTTTTAGGAGAGCAAAAAGATATCAGATACATAATGTTTTTCCTTTTATTTCCTAGGAGCCACTTCACCTTAACATGATTTGGATTACCTGGTAAATAACATCCTGGAAAAGGACTGGAAACGTGAGTGCAGCATCTTCCAGTTCATTTAGACTACAGTGGACTAATGTTTCATCCTACAAATAATTTTAAAAAATGAGTCAATTTAGCAGAGGGACAGAAAAGTATGTGTTCTCTGAAATAGCCCTATAATTTATAGTTTGTTTGCCAAAGAGAGAATATTTTTCCCTCAAAAGTGAAGCAAGCAACCAAATCTGTTTTTCTCACCAAGTCTAGAACTAACGAGAACTCTGGTGTACTTCTGGTTTTCAATGGAAGAGCAGGTTTCCGATTAAGTTGTTCTTCTGTTAGCGGTGGAACATGTTTGATGAAGTAGTACCTAAAGAGGAGTCAGATCATGGTTTGATCATTTATCAGACAGTGAATACTTTACTCTTAAACTATGATAAAGGCCTATATAACAATAAATCTACCCACAGATGTACTAAATGAACCACATAATTATACAGTTAGTTGGGGAAGGAATTGTTTACAGAACTGGAGCTTCTATATAGAAGTTAACTATTCCATCTTCTAGACCAACACTCCTTTTTCTATGGTTCTTCCCTTGTAAATATTTGACATTCCCCCCCCAGATTTAGGCTATTTCTCCCTAAATAGCCCTAAATAAGTATGCTATTTCTCCCTTCTTTGGTTTTACAGAGGGCCAATCTTAGCTACTGTTCTGCCAGCAGGCACCAGCTGAATTCATTATCATAAATATTTTCATTTATTTACCACACACACACACATGTCTGAGAACGAACACTTACGGATCAAAGACTTCCCAGTCTTCTTCATAGGTGGCTTCTGCATGAGCTGATGAATAACTGCTGTCTGGAGATACTGGTGCTAACAAAACAGAAAAGTCCCTCATTAGTTTACATCAAGAAAAGGGAAATTTTCTCTTAACAGTAAAGTTGATCATTTAATTACTAAGTATTTCTATTTGGTACGGAATGTTTTGTCTTCCACTTTTCTTAAGAACTATTATCAATATTTTTAGGGCTTATAATTTGACTCTAAAAATAGATATATCTATTTTACATATTAAGCTCAAAAAGGAATATTTGCAGGTGAGGGCCAGGTATAATTTCACAGGTTACCAACATGATAAAAATTATGTGCAGAGTCAAATATGAATCTTTTTAAACCAAACCTTGGGCAGTTTAAGTGCCTACTAAGTGTGATGGTTACAATCTGTTTTCTTTCACACTGCAATATTATGATATCCTATTGCATTGTGGAATTCTGTTTTGACAGTCATCTGATTGGCCTGGTATAAATGTTCCATTAAGTAAATAAATACAGACCTTAAACAGAAAACAATATTATCAAGTTAAATGCTTATTAGCCAGAGTGATCCTGCCCTTGGCTTGGAGGTAGTATTTGTGTACATGTGTAGATGAAGCATAACGCACAAGGCAATTGTTTGTTGGAATACATTCATGCTCAAGTAAAGTGAGTACAGGTAGTCCTCAACTTACGACCACAGTTGAGGCCAAAATTTATGTTGTTAAGTAAGAAATTTGATATGTGAGTTTTGCTCCATTTTACAACTTTTTTGCTACATTTGTTAAGTTAATGCCTGCAGTTGTTAAACTTAGTAACGTGGTTGTTAAATAAATCTGGCTTCCTCATTGACTTTGCTTATCCGAAAGTCGCAAAAGGGACCACGTGACTCGGGGATACTGCAACCGTCATAAGTATGAGTCAGTTGTCAAGCATCTGAATGCTAAATCACATGACCAAGGGGATGCTACACAGGAGTGGGATGCAAATATTTTTACTACCGGTTCTGTGGGCGTGGCTGGGTGGGCGTGGCCATGTGAGTGGGTGGGCGTGGCTTCCTCTTTTGGGGGGGGGGGGGCTCCTGGGCCTCAGGGAAGCCTCCTGGGAATCCCCTAAGACAGTGAGGGGGATCCCAGCACAGCTGATCGTCAGAACAGCTGGTCGTTGGGAGGAAGAAAGAAAAAACGGTTCTAAGTGTGAAAAAGGGTCATAAGTCACTGTTTTTCAGTGCCATTGTAACTTCACTACATGGTTTAGCATGGTCACTGAATGAACTGTTGTAAGTCAAGGACTACCTGTAGATATAAATGCCTCGAGTTTCCAATTAACAATTTATTTCTCATGTCTTAATCCCGTTGAGAGACGGCTGAATCCCCAGGGACCCCTGAGATCGAAACAGGGAAGGGACTGAATCAGGAGAAAAGACCAGGGGGTCCAAATGTTCTCTCTGCTCCCAACAGCTTTTTGGGGGGGCTGCCATGTCTCCCCTCTGGCTGCCCCCACCTGCAGGCGGGGAGGGAAGGACCAGGCGGGAGGCTGCCCACGGGGCTCTCCCCTTACCAGTCAGTGGAGGCAGATCACAGTCAGCCACATCCTCCACTTCCTCCAAGACGGTGCTGATCGTCGTTCGGACCTGGGCTGCCTGGCTGGCGTAGGGCGCTCCTCCGTTGGCCGAGACGGCAGTGCTGGTAATGATCTCGTCCACCTGCTCCATTTCGAGCTGCTTCACGATTTCTTCAGCCTCCACAGCCTGGCCAGGAGAGTCCGAGCCTGCCGTTCCTGCAATAATAATTTGGGGGAAGACGGTTGAGAAGGTGGTCGCGGGGCAGCTCCTGAGGTTTCTGGATGAAACGGATTATCTCGACCCTCTAACCAGTCAGGATTCAGGCCTGGGTTTGGGACAGAAACGGCACTGGTCGCACTTTTGGATGATCTCTGGAGGGAGCAGGATGGGGGTAGTGCATCCATCCTTGCTCTACTTGACCTCTCGGCGGCTTTCGATACTATCAGCCATGGAATTCTCCTGGGACGGCTTCAGGGGGTGGGAGTGGGAGGCCTTGTGCTGCCTTGGTTCACTTCCTTCCTCTGCGGCTGCTCTCAGTCAGTGTCGATAGGAGGGGAGAGATCCAGCCCTCGCCCACTGCTTTACGGGGCTCCGCAGGGCTCGCTGCTCTCTGCGCTCCTGCTCAACATTTACATGAAGCCGCTGGGTGAGATCATCCGTCACCCTGGACTGAGGTATCACCCATATGCTGATGAGACTCAGCTGTATGTCTCGGCCTGTGGCGAGTTAAGTGTTGCCGCGTCCTCCCTCTCGCAGCGCCTGGAGGCTGTTAGGGGCTGGATGGGGAGCAACGGGTTGAAACGAAAGCTTTGCAAGACCGAGTGGCTCTGGGTCTGGGGTTCGTTGGTTCAGGGAGAATTGCCACCTTTGGTCTTGGATGGGGTGCCACTACCCCAAACAGACCCTGTGCGTAACCTGGGGGTTCTCCTGGACTCACGACTCCTGCTCAAAGAGCAGGTGGCGGACGTGACCAGGAGGGTGGGTTGTGCACCAGTTACGCCCTTTCCTGGATCAGAGGCCCCTACTCACAGTCACTCACGCCCCGGTCACTTCCTGTCTTGATTATTGCAATGCGCTCTACATGGGGCTGCCCTTGAAGAGCATCCGGAAGCTCCAGTTGGTGCAAAATGCAGCGGCCCGCATGGTTTTATGCAGACCCCGGTGTGCACATGTGTCACCTCTCCTGCAGGAGCTGCATTGGTTGCCGATTTGCTTCCCGGTGCAATTCAAGGTGCTGGTTGTCATCTTTAAAGCCCTTCATGGTTTGGGACCAGGTGATCTGAGGGAACATCTCTTGCCGGTCACATCTACCCGACCCATTAGAGCGGGGAGGCAGGGAACGCTGCGGGTCCCACCCCCGAGGGAGATACCCCTGGTGGGACCCAGAAGAAGGGCCTTCTCCGTGGTGGCTCCCTCTCTCTGGAACATCATTCCTCCAGGGATGAGAATGGCCCCCTCATTAATACTCTTCCGAAAGGCACTGAAGGCGGCCTGGTTCTGCCAGCGGGCCTGGGGAACCCAGAGAGGGATGGAGCCCGTCAGGTGGCTAGTATGACCCACTGTCGTCGGGTTTGGGGTGGGAATTGGGGGTGATTTTTTTCCTCCTAGATTTTGTTCTATTGTACTTTATTAATTTATTTGATTCTTTTTGATAGTTTTTGTTTTTTATTTTTTGTTTTAAATATGATTTTACATTGTGTAAGCCGCCTCGAGTCACCACGGGCGAAGAGGTGGCAATATAAATCAGATCAATAAATTAATTAAATAAATAAATAATATTCTGGCTTAATACTAGTACTCTCAACCGAAGAGCAGCATTTGCGAGTACTTTTCTGTCTCTACATTTACAGTCTAAAAAGAAGTCTAACGGAATATATTCCTGTCTGCCATTTTTTCCAAATAGGAAACAACTATTTCATAATAAAAAAAATTCTTTTTATGTTTTTTAGATCAGGGCTGCCCCCGGCTGCGACCCACTAATGGGCTTTGGCCTGTTTGGAACTGGGCTGGGGAAGCAGTGGGAGAGTGCGCGCAGCTCCACTTGTGAGGCTGCTGCATGCACCAATGAAGCTGCACACGTGCCCTGCTGCTCACAGAGAACTATATCCCGTCTCCCCACCACCCGACCGGGCTGCCAAGATGGGAAGGTTGGGGACTGCTGGTTTAGATGCATGTAAGAGCTAAATGCAGTTTTGTGCAGTACTTGCCATTTTTATTTGCTGGTGAGAAAAAATTGAAGACAGGAGAAAATATGGTCCCCAATAATGTAGTCCTTGGGGGGCTGCAGCTGGTGGGGTTATCATCCAATTTTCCATTTTGCCGGACATGCTGGTTTGCCATTTCATAATTCCCAGCTTCTGGAACAGACAAACGAAAAAGTGCACAAAGTTTCTAGTGTGATTTTTTTCCAATATAGGTTGGAGTGACGACGTTTCAATTAAATATCAGATTCCTAGATGGGCACAAATGTAACTGCAGGAATTAAACCTTAGAAAGCCGGCATGTCCACAAGGCTGATACTCTTATGGCTCACGGTTTTTAAGGCAATGAAGATTCACAATTGGCTGGCTTTGCCACACAGAAATCTTTAAGAAACACACAGAATGTTATATTCTAAGAAAGTGAGCTAAAAGCCGCAGTAGAGGTCTTTTACTGTAAATTGTTAATTCAGATCATGTGATCAGTCTCTCTGTAAGGGAGATGGCCAGTTACTATATGTGATCAATAAAATAAATTTATTTGTGAATATTTGTTAAGTTATCCTGAGGTAAAATGAGCAGCCAATAAATTTTATATAAATAGACAAAGAAACACACAGATAAATATTTGTAAATCAACCTGACATTGGTATCGTTTTCTTTTTCATCATCATATTGTTATAAATATACTACTTATTACACTGGTTTGTGATAAGAGGTAACTCTTAATAGGTAATTATGAGTTTGCAGGTAGTAGAACTGCATACCTAGTTAGCAAAGGAAAAAACAGGGCAGGGCTCCCCAAGTCCTGGTCTGTGGACTGGCTGCATGTCAGAAACTGAGCCCACAAACAAGCAAAGCCCCATCCGTGGGATGCTGTTCTGACCCAGGCCTCGTTCAAATCAAACAAACGCAAAACAGAGATAAAAACAAAACCTTTTTAAGGCGTCCCTGTGAATTCAGTTCATTCACAGTAAAACACTATTAAAACTAATTGTCCCAGATAAGAGCAAGCCCTGTCAAGGTTGTGCAAGGCTGCCAAGAACACAAGATAAATTGCCAGGAAATATTCAAAGCCAAAAGTCTCCGAAAACAAACCAGGATAGACCGAACTTCCACAATAACTTGAAGTGCAAGAACTTCTCTGAGGGCTGGCTTTTATCCCTTAAGGGAGGGGCCATCACCTTGCAGCCTTACTCCCGAGTTGCCCGTGCTGTTGCAGCTGCTCTTTCCTTCGAGCAGCCCTGCGCGCAATCTCCGAAGGCAGCACCCCTCTCTCCGATGGTCCTGGCCCCATCCCTGCATCCCACGCAGGCCCCTCATCCGAGTCCTCGCTCTCCGAGACCTCAGCCTTCCACACCTGCTGCCGGTGAACCACAACAGATGCAGTCAACACACAAACCCCCCCCCCCTGCACAGAACCTTTCCCTGGTGCCCAAAAGGTTCGGGGCCACCGCGTTACAAGGAAGCCCATTTTCATAAAAGAGAAAGTTATCCTGTTAATTGTGTAAAGAAAATAATGTGTCCCTACATGAGGATTCCGTTCTCTTTCTCTGTGCTCTGGAGACCACTTTCTTAAGCATTGATTTCCAATCCCCAAACCGGGCATCATGGTTTAGCTCAGAGGTTTAAGAAAATTACTTTGCACAATAAGGAAAAAATGTTTAAAGTAAAACAAAAAACGAAAGTAAGCTTCATCACACTATCAGCAGTTTTACAATCATTTTCTTCTTCTCTGAAACCAAGGTCAAAAGAATCAGTGGCGGAAGGATTTGGCCCTCCTTTGAGCTAAAGGCTGGAATATTTACAAACCTCCATTCGCTTGGCTTTTCCGCCTGACTCGAGAAAGCTGTTTATTAGGCTTTTCTCCTGTTCGAGGAGTGGATGTAATTAAGTTGTCATCTATGTCATGTTCAATTCTACTTCTCTTTGCAGAGTGTTCTCGTTCATCCTTAATAAAACAAATACACCAGATTACACCTTACCTTTACTAGCAAACTTTCTCTGTTCATTTGTACTGCTTTCATGAAAGTGAAATTTCCAACATTCCTATTTCACCCTTTTCACTCCATGGGCCTTTGGGAGAAAATATGTCATAAAAGCAAAAGCCACCCCCCCCCAATCAAACCTAATTCAAATTTAAATTCCTAAATATTTAGCTCATACTATTTGTTCCAATTTTTTTCACTGCTTTAACATGCTAGAAAGAGCCCATAAAAAGCCCATAGAAATAAACAAAGAAACGTATGTTCTATATAGAAAAATCACTCTGCCCAATTTTTAAATGTCAGCCACACTAATTATTTTTTCTGTTCCACTCATAGATAAGTTCACCCTTAATTTTATTCTGGATACTGAATTGCTTTTCCAGTATCAAAGACAGTGTAAAATTGTAATCATATGTCAGAACAATACAGCACAGCAGAAAATACAATGAAACAGAACAAATTCCTGAGTTTAAACGAGGAAGCAAAAGTAGCTGTCTGACTAACAACAGGGAAGCACATTTGGCAAGAAGATACTGAAAGAGAACAGAATAAAAGATCTTGGTGGTCTTCTAGCCCAACCTTCTGGCCTTATTTCATCCCAGATAAAGGGCTGTCCAGGCTTTTCTTAAAATCCTCCGGCAATCGAGCATGACAGCCAATAAACAAAACTCTTCAAAGCTGACCTACTAGGAGGCATCAGCCTGACATTAACTTCTGTTAGAACTTTTTTAGCCATACTTGAAATACTTTGGAAAATCTTTGCTGTCTTCAGACTTCAGCTCTTTCACGTGTTTCCCGAACAGATTTACAACTGATTTTATTCCAAATGTTTTCATGATTGCTATTTAAATAGTTTGCATTTGCAAACTATTTTCCAGTATATTATGCATGTCAAAATGTAATAGTGGTTCCTGAATATTTACCTTTGGGGTACTTCCTTTAATGAACTTCTTAATTGAAGACAGTAAGCCAGTTTCATTTTTCTGAAGTTTTCCTCCACCAACGGTTATGTGCTCCTCCACGTCGGAGTATTTCCTCTTGACTCTCAATGCTCGCTGGGTGTGATTTTGATTTGACTGCTGAGAAGCTTTCCGTGTTCTCAGCCTCATTTTTGATGGTATCACATGTAAATCTATGTAAGACAAGAACAGAAAATAAATTAAGTTTCAAAAGTTTAAAAATAATTTTAATCGCCTAAAATAAAAACGGTACTTAATTAAAAGTAGAATTAAAAGTTTATTCTGCAATCAATATAAACAATGACCACCTTTATAACTGGATTCTAGGTATTCAAAAATTAAGCCTGGTATCTAGGAATTTGAGAAACAAAGGCATTGTTTACAAAACTTTCCTTTACATTATTACACAATCAGCCCTAAGAAAATTGGAGGACTCAGTGGATCAGCCAGACTGTTTGTAATTCAGGTGTCGTGCATACAACGCAAACAGTAGCACATGGGATCATTTCTCCCAAACCTGTCCTTCTGCATTCCATTCATACATGCTTTTCTGAATAAAAGGCCTTCTAGGATAAGCAGGAAAAAGGTGCTAAAGGAAAAGCACCTAACTTTTGACACAGCTGTAGTGGAAGCAAATTTATCCCACCTATTTCTGTCAGGGATGGTCAGCCTGTAGGAAACTGCCTTGTGTCACTGATTGGCAAAAGCTCCCCAGGACTTCAAGAAAAATGACTTGGGAGTATACAGTTACAGAATAACCATTGGAAGGGATCCTGGAGGTCTTCTAGTCCAATCCTCTGGTCAAGCAGATGAGTGGGGCACTAGCATCTCCACCCGGGCAGTCAAAGGGGCTGCCCGCTTTGGAAGCCATATTCCACGCTGCCACGTAGCCTGAGAAAGTGGGAGGGATTTCACTGAGTAGTTCTAAGTAGACAAAATAAAATTATTTTCTTACTTCAAGGTTTTAAGTGTGGCGCAGGATGAAAAAAGGATCTTACACTGGGACAGGTCGTGATCGGTCCATGTGATGTGATGATGGTAAAAAGGGGGTGGATTGTAGTTTGGGACATTGTGGGAAGTCCGGGAAACTTTTCGCTTCGAGATTCCACAGATGTGCCAGGTGCTATTCTACTAATAAAGGTACTTTTGAGATTAGGCTTGTCTCGGAGTTACTGATGGGAATGGAGGTTTGCTGGAATGCTGGCAGGGGCGATGGTTCCACTTAGCATCGGATCGTCCTCCCCTTCGCTGTCACTTTCGTAGAAGACCAGATCGGAATTCCCTCCCCCTCACTAGAGAAGAGACCTCCATGACCAGCTGTGCCACCCACGTCTTCTCTGGCCACCTCTACTTTTAAGTCACCACTGTCCACCTCTGCTTTTAATTTTTTTTAACTGAATAATTTTAATTTGTTTCTCTTAAAATTTGATTCCATTATTTTAACAAGAGTTCTTTAGCTTATCATTTCCCCCCCTAATGATTAGCTATCCAGCTTGATTTTGACCCATCTGAAGATCCTGATTTCTAAAACTCCCGGCCAGCTTCCCACAAGCAGTCAACAGGAAAGCAGGCAGGAAACCAGCAGTCACTCCCAGGGCCTTTTTGGCTGCACAGGGCCATTCGGTTTCTCTGTTTAGGTTAGGAAATTTTGACATTATTAAAGTTTGTTTGCCACTGCCATTTATTTTTCTATTTATGACATATACTTTTCATAGATGATCTATGGCTCCCTCCAGCATTGGGGTAAAAAAATATGGTCAACTTACAATTTAATGTTCATTCTAATCACATCAGACTGCACTACCTTTTTCTCAAAGGATAAGCCAACATAGATATTATAATAATAATATATATATATATATACTGCCTTGGGGGTTTCACGGCAAAGCCAAGCTTATTTCTGTTTAAGGACAGAATGTCAGGTGAGGAGGCATAAACTTCCACATACAGAAAGTTATGCCCATGTTCCCATCCCCAAGAGTTCAAACTGGCCATCCAATCCGAGATGTGTATATTGTCATGTGGGGCACCTTCAGGTGGTGTTTTGAGACGTCTGGCTCGCCTTGGCCTGAATAGATAAGAGGCTACAGCTGTGCAGTAAGCAAGTAAGCCTAGTCAAGAAAGTTTTCCCAAGTTTTACAGCTCACCCTCTCAAGTCTGCAGCACTCTCCCCCCCCACAAAAAGCCCAATTAATCTTCCCTCCCCCGTTTCTATGACAGTCAGAAAGACAAGCAGAAGGATTCTTGAAGGCTGACACAGATACCTGGTGTTCAAATTCAGAAGAGATAGCACAGGGGAGAGAAAAGAGAAAAACAAGAAACAGGCAATCCAGCAGTTAAACTGCTGAAGTTTTAGGAAAACCCTATCACATCTTTAAAACTCACAGATTGAATATGATTATCTTCACTGAACTAAAACTCTCTAATCTATTGCCAAAGTTTAGGTTACACTTCAGATATTACATATACACACAAACACAGGCACATAGAGAAACAGTATCAGGGGGCTAAAAACTATGAAATACAGAACTAATCAGATTGGTATAAAATGTATAAAGTATACATGTCAGGAACAGTATCCAGTTACGAAAACAGTAGTTACAAATTGATAAAGATATTAAATATTCTGGTTTAGTCTTTCACAGTCCATCTGTTAGGCAGTGTTGGGCTTCAGAGTTTAAATGACTGTGATGTAAACAGGTTAACACCAGGAAATCTGTTGTCAAGACCACAAGACCCTGAAGTTTATAATACTGCCCAATATCAAACAGTATTTAATATTTAATACATAACAAGCCCCTCCATTCTTAAATGGAACCCCAGGGCCTCATTAAAGGTAGGTATCAAACTGAAATTGAAATATGACTGGTAAGGAAGATTATAAAACCCGTAGGAAATAACTAGATAAGGCCCTGCTGTACAGAGGGCAGCATGGTGGCCAGCGGTTAAGTTGCTGGGCTTGTCGGCTGGAAAGCCCAAGTTCAAGACCCAAACGCCACTTGACAGGGTGAGCTCCCGTCCTCACCCCAGCTCCTGCCAGCCTAGCAGTTCGAAAGCAGGCAAATGCGGGTAGATAAACAGGTACCACTTTGGTGGGAAGGTAACAGTGCTCTGTGGCATCATGCTGGCCCCATGACTGCAGAAATGCCTTCGGACAGTGCTGAATCAATGACCTTGAAACTGAGATATGAGTACCGTTCCCTAGAATCAGCTATGACTAGCAGAGTAAAATCCACAGGGACTTTTATATTTGAAGATAAGTTATCCTCAAGTTGAAAAGGTTTTGTTTATCAATTATGGAGCAAAATTATAATGTAAGTTAGAAACACTAAGGAACTTGATGTATAAGGGTCCAGAATAATGTATAGTTTAGTGAATTCTGTATTAGGAGGTTCTTCTCAAAATATATTCAGAATTAAATCTATCCAGAAATATATTTGTGCATGCTTCAATCTTATTCTAAAAATATTATGGCTGGGGAATTAATAAGACAATTAATACTAACAAAGGAAAATGATGGAAACAGAACACGAAATTCAATTTTAGAATGCAATAGCTTTCATTTGGATGTTCATAGCAGGAACCTGTACCAATCATTTGGTCAAATATACCTGGGATTTAGATAAGAGTTTGCTTCTTTTTGTTAAAACATTAGCTTTTATCTTGGTTTAGCATGGTTTGGAAATTCAATCACTGTAGTTGTCTAATTATGATTAATGGCTTAGTGCAGGGGCTCCCAAACGTTTCACCATCACATCTTCCTTTAGTATAATCTTAATATAGACACCTCCACTAAAAGTGTAATCAGCAGAATAAACACAATGAAAAAACATAAAACAAAACTTTGGGAAAGGTGGATTTACTGTAACAAACTAAACTTTTAAAAGGTTTTTACTTTTTTAAAAAAGTAAACATTTCTTCATGTCTCCCCTGGCGTCTGTCTTCACCTTTGAGAAAGATTGGTTTTGCACGACGAGTGAATCTCAGTTCACAGTTGTGCCTAAAATCCACCATGTGGGTCTGGATGCCCAAGGATTCATAAACTACACGGCAGGGGTGACATTTTTTAAAGAATAGGGGTGGGGCTTTCTCAGTCAAAACTCTCTCTGGGAATTTTGCTTAACACTGCCTGCCCAAGCAAGCTGTACGCAGTTGCCATACTACCCGGTCCTCTGTGGCCTATAAATTAAGATGCATTATGTGTGTACCATTTGTTCAGCATTTTGGAAAGCTGCAGTGCTACAAAATTTGAGAAGCCTTGCATTAGCATAATGTGTGCAAAACACCAGTTCAAGTCAAAAAGGAAAGGTGTGCTCATACGTTGATTTCATTCATTTCAGTCCAGCGTACTGGCAGTAAAGTCTACTATCGGAAAGGGAAACACACATATGATGTGTAATACTAAATCCTAGCACAGTTGTCCTCTTTCAGATGAAATCTTTTCAGATGCACAAAAGAGCCAAGACCTTATTTAATCCACATCTCTGTTTTCCACAGAAGTCAACCAAATGCATATATTTATGCAGGGTATAAATTTGACCAATAAGAAAAAAAGCAGTTTATACGACAATCATCTCTCTTCCTCAGTTCCCATATAATCCTGGATACAGGCAGTCCTTACTTGATCCTTTTGGTTCTAAGTTGTGATAGTCACTAAGTGGGAATTGAAGCCCACCCATCTTAAAGTTGCCAGAATTCCACAGCTAAATTTCTATCCTGCCTTTCACTTAGGAACTCAAAATGGAGTGTAACCTTCCCTCCTCTTCATTTTCCCCAGAGCTGCCACCACCTTGTGAGGTAGATTGCAATGGGAAGAGGCTGTCCCCAAGTCACCAAGAGAGCTTTCAGGTCTAAGGATGGGCTAGGACCATAATGGCGAATCTATGGCACGCGTGAGCAGTCAAGGTGGACGCAGCATGAATCCGAAGGAGCTGAGAAATTACATTAGCAGGGAGAGAGAAGTACGTACAATCATATAAAAAGCGAGTGTACGCCACTAAATATTTTTTTTTTACTTTTTCAACAATATTTCCACATACAAATATTTAACCTTATTTCAACAATACTAACAGATAAATGGATATAGTTTAACAAATGTCTGCACCATTCACATTTTGTAGTCCTTTGTGGTCTTTGTAAGATCCTATAGTAAGATATAAAGGCACAATATGCATGTGGAAAAAGTAAGTACACTTTAACTACTACCTCAAATGCCTAAAATCAGAATCAAGATGATTCGAATGATCAGAAGATTGTTAGAAAGGACCTAGGACAAACATGTATTATTGGAATCTCAGATATTTAGTTTGATTTGCTTTAGTGTAGAGGATCATCATGCTTAGTTCAAAAGAGCTCTCTTAAGCCTTTAGAAAGGTTATAGATGCCCAGTCAGGGATTACGAAAGATTAGCAAAAGTAGACATCGATTATTCCATTGTCCAGAAGATCATCTACAAGTGAAGAAGATCTGAAACTGCCAGCTTGCCCAGGCCAGCTTTTCCCAACCCATTTGGCCTGAGAGTAGAGACCGAGATGCTGAAAGACGTCTCTAAGAATCCTGGAATTCCATCCAGTGGCCTACAGGGAGCTCTTGCCTCTACGGGTGTTAAAGGCACAAAAGGGGCGGGGTAAAAAGCATAAAAGATACAAGAGAATAAAAATTAAGCATAAAAAGCTAAAAAGTATAAAAATAAAAATCTAAAAAGAATTTAAAAAGAGGGATAGGAGTAGTAAGGGAGTGTAGGGAAGCAAAGCAAACCTACCATAATAACAAAACACTCCACCACATTCTAGATACTCATTAAAGCTCATTTGTAACACAGGTCACCTTCTGACATAAACTGCTGTTGCACAGAGCCTTGTAGCCTTACGTTATATAGGAGGTTGGCATCGGAGAGCAGCAGGCAGATAGAAAACCGGTTGGGCTCGCTGGCAAGTGAAGGTTGGGGACTTGGCTAGGTCCACTTGGCCCTCTGCCTGCCACATGCTGTTTAATGAGTGTTTTGGCCTGGTCTTGTCCCATGCTGAGCAGCCTAGGAATGAGATTTTAGTCTGCCACTGTCTTTTTTCATGTGGATTGAAAGTCATCCCTCACAGTTACTGGGACAAGGGGGCCGGGGGGAGGGAAAGTTTGGTCTGAGCCAGAAATTAAGTATGATTACCTACACACTAGTCTCTAGTTTCATGAGATCCTACAAACATTGCACACTTGAAAAAAAATCTGCACTGAAAGGGAAAATATTCCTCCTAGTGCATGACGGAGACCAGTAGATAGTTATTAAGAATTGACTACTATATAATATGATAGGAACAGCTGATCTGCACAATACGAATCTTAATTTAAATTTAGCAGGGAAAGATTGTTAATATTGTGCACAAGCGATATGTACCAACCTCACTGTATAATGGAAAGATGATTCTATTGGATGTTTTATGTTTGTGTTTGTCTATGTTGTCAAAATAAAACTTTCTTTTTTTAAAAAAAAGAATTGACTACTTCAGGATGTTTCTTTTCCTATATATAATTTGCATTAAATACATTTGGTAACACAACACAAAGGAAAGTAGCAAGTAAAATGTAAAAAGGGGGTAGAGTGGGCTTTTTTTCCTTCTTAATAGCAGTTATGTTTATATTTTACCTTCTCTAAGATTACCTGGGCAGCAAAAGGGCTCAGAGGTTAATAGGCTAGGCTTGTTGGCTGGAAAGTCAACAGCCCAGGTTCAAGAGCCAAGCTCCATGTGACAACCCCTGTCCTCACTCCAGCTCATGCCAACCTAGCAGTATGAAAGCATGCAAACTCGAGTAGATAAATAGGTAGTACTTGGGTGGGAAGGCAACCACGTTCTGTGATGGAAATATCTTCAGGTAGCACTGACTCAATGGAATGGCCTTGAAATGAGAGTCGAATGCCCTGGACTCCTACATAATTTTCTTCTGTTCGTTGTTTACTCTTTCTAATCATCCAACTCCACAAATCACAGGTTTATTTTTTTCCAGCAACAAGTATTTAAGGCTCTTTCTGCTAAAGGGGCAACCAGGTATTAGAGTCAAGAGTCTGCTTACTTTTTCTACAGAAGAAAATGGCGTATTTCTTAATTCTTTTTGTTGAACAATTGCAAAGTCAGTGTTTCATTTTTTTTCTTCAATTACAGATAGTCCTCAACTTACAACAACCATAGACCCCAATATTTCTGTTGCTAAGACAGTTGTTAAATGAATTCTGTCCCATTTTATGACCTTTCTTGCTACAGTTAAGTGGATCATTGCAGTTGTTAAGTAACACGGTTGTTAAGTGAATCTGGCTTCCCCATTGAGTTTGCATGTCAGAAGGTCACAAAAGGAGATCATGTGACCCTGGGACACGGCAACCGTCATAAACATGAGTCAGTTGCTAAGCACCCAAATTTTAATCAGATGACCATCTGATGACCATCAGTCATAAGTGTTGGAAAATGGACATGTCACTTTTTTCAGGGCTGTTGTAAATTTGAATCATCACTAAATAAATGGTTGTAAGTGGAAGACTGCCTGTATATTATCTTTGCCTTTTATATACTCTTTGAAGATAAAATATTGATATTTTAAAGAATATTTCTCTTAAAAAGCAGAAAGCAACTTTACATGGAGTGTGTTTATTTTTTGACATGATTGAAACTAAGTACATTAACGGAGTGCAACATTACTAAAAAAAGCTGAACTAGAATAAGATTTCAAAAAAAAAAATCAGTTCCAATAACTTCTAAATAATAATAAAACCATTCACCAACCAAAATAAAGTGTCCCAGAGTTTCAAAAAAGTTAAGAATATTTAGTTTTCTAGCAAAGAACAAAACATCTAAAGCAAGGGTCTTCAAACTTGGCATGTTTAAGACTTGTGGACTTCAACTCCCAGAATTCCTGAGCTAACATGACTGGAGGAGGAATTCTGGGAGTTGAAATCCACAGGTCTTAAAGCTGTCAAGTTTGAAGACCCCAGATCTAAAGAATCAAAAAAATTACCCTGGTTAATTGAACTAATTTGGCATGCAGTCCAGCAGCCAAGCCTCTAAGAGTATACGGTACCTCAAGGTAAAGAAAGCTAGGCTACAAACGTTTGTAAGAAAGCAAATAAAACATGCCCTTGTCCTTTACATGTGCTCAGCAAGGAAACACACAATACTCTCAAAGCATAAATCCACACCACCAATAGATTTCCTCAAGCATTTGCTCACCTCTTTTACCCAAACTATGACAGAGGCACATGCAAAAGGTCTAAGAGTTAATTGCTGAGTAAAATAATTGCATAGGAGTTAATGAGAAAGAGTTGGCATTTTGATTTTGGAGAGCCACTGCCAGCCAGAACAGTAAAACTGATGTAAATGATCTAGTACAAGGGTCTCCAGACTTGGCAACCTTGAAGACTTGTGGACTTCAACTCCCAGAATTCCTGAGCTAACATGACTGGATGAGGAATTCTGGGAATTGAAGTCCACAAGTCTTAAAGCTGTCAGGTTTGAAGACCCCTGCACCTACCTATCATCTCTCTCTCTCCGTATCTATCTATCTATCTATCTATCTATCTATCTATCTATCTATCTAT